CTTGCTCCGGTATATGTGCTGCAACTGAGCAGGATTCCAGTTTTGGGGGTCGGAGTGTAAGGAGCGCTGCTTCCCAAATGAAGAATGGGTTTATTAAGTGTGTCGGTTCCGCTCGTGTCTGACAGTAAAAGCATCAAGCTTGCATGGTTTCAGCCGTGTTTAACGGCAGATCGCACCAGATGCCGAAGTCAAGAGTGTGCGGGTATTCTCAGCTGAACAAGAAAAATCTGTTTCACGCACTCAGGCCCATATTAACCCCCAAACTGTTGCAGATCTACGGCGGCGGCCTGGGTGCTGAACAACTGTGGCCTATGAGATCTGGCTCTGATCCGAGCGATGAGAGCAAGACCACGATACGTGTATACGTGTATATGTATGTATGTCTGTGGAAAGTATGATGCATTACTATTGTTCATGATGGTGTTGATGATGACCATCATGATGATGATCATGACGATGGTGGTGATGATGATGGTGGTGATGATGGCTTTGATGATTCATGCGGCCTCGAGTATTAAGTCACATCCCCCCCGCTTTTATACTCCTTCTTCTTCTTCGTTTAGAACTTGCTCTATCATGTTGTGTCTCTTCGACAACTGCTCCAAAGCCAGGCCGACATCATCGGTAGGATCGTCACCATCATCATCATCACCATCAGCACCATCACCACCATCACCATTGTAGACATTGTCATCCTGCACATCACTTATCATCTCGTTCTGCAAAGTCGTGACAACAATGCGGGATAAACCCTGAAGCCCGGACTGAACCCAAAACACTACGAGCGACAAACAACAAGAAGTTCTAAACTAACATTCCTTAACTTCGAAAATTTGGATGGCGGGTGCGCGTAGGCGTCGTTTCGGGGTTCTAGTTTCGGATCGGCTGCTGGGGGTTTGGGATCAGAGCATAATAGTTTCGGCGCCCAGTTGCGGCACAGCGGGAGTCGGGCGCGAGATCGAAACTGACCATGTCGGGATCCGAAACTATCCCGGACCATGTTCCGAAACTCCACTCCGAAACTCAGCGCCGAAACTACGGTCGAAAACCCTGAAACTCACAACTTGCTCGAAAGATTCAAAGGCGACTGTGACTAGGACTGTTTCTCCTCAGTTGCAGGCCCCTGCAGCGTAGCAGCACAATGCAAGCCAACAGTCGGTCCCACTCAAGTGCGCCCCTTCCCCTCAACCCTAAACAAAAAACCTTTTACCTAGTCTTATCGTCCGGGCCCATCTCCCCTGAAGCCCCAACAGAATGTTCGTCTCAAAGTAGGTGCTCGACCGGCTGGAGCATGAAAGCTCCATAAAACCGGTTTCGGGGCATAAAAATGGGCTAAGCTTGTGCCTAGGGTTTTTCGGCCCATGGTGCAAAGGCGCAATGCTCCCACGAGCCTGCGGAAGCGCATTGGCCTCCGGAACCTGACAGACGGCTTGGGTTCTGAGTGACCATGCATGGCACACCCCCGCATCGCTCAAAACCTGAACTCGGGCCGAAACCGCTGAGTGGGTCAGGTGCTACAATATCTAGAAACTTCCATGGGAGTGGGATAGAGGTGGACATAGAGAACCGCACGAAGAAGAAACTCCAGGCTCCCGATCCGAGAGCAAAAAGGAGTTGCTCCAGCAGAGCACACAAGCAGAGCGAAAAAAAGAAGCGGAACCTGCGAGGATAGTCACAACCATGCTTACAGTCATAGGGGAGGGTATCAAGATCAAGGACCTCAATCAACCACACAGCAGAAGCAGACCCCATCTTCTCCAAGAACATAGCAAAAACCTACGTAATGTCAGGCACTCTATTGGCGAATCCACACCGGAAGTGCACCTCCCCGGCGATGCACTTCTCCAAGACCTGCGGAGGGGTTTCGGATTCCATCCCTGAAGGGCCTGAAAGGTTTAGGGTGAAGCGTAGGTGTAGGGGCTTCCCTGCGGGCATATGACGTGCAACAAGACACGAGGCCTGACATGATTGAAGGTAGAAGACTGGGGTCCAAATCTTCAACTTAACTTGAAGTCCTCAATCTAAGCTCCAATCTACGGTGTGAGAGCCCTCGGTCCTTGATCTGAAAAATAGGAAACCGTAAACCTATGCCCCAAAGACAAATCCCAAAGCTTTCCGCCTGAAGCCTGAACACTAAACCCGAAAAACCCACTGCAGTCTGCGGGTTGGGCCTGTGATGGGTCCATGTCCTCGTGGCTGCTCATTGCCTTACCAACAGTCTGCCGTGAGTTCTGATGCCGGCTTTGAAGTTTAGGGTTTGGGGTTTGGAGTTTAGGGTGTAGGTTTACTTTTTTGGAGATCAGGGTTTAGTTTAGAGGCTGGTGCGGTTAGGAAGACGAGGATTCCCGTCGTTCCCACGTGCCCTCTCACTCCACCTCAAGTGTGCTCACGAGATTTTGCCGGCTCTGTCAAGCACGTGCAGCCCTGCTTGGAATAAGTTTCAGATGGGGTTTCGGATGTTTGTCGGACTGTACGAGCGCCAGGATTCCGCGTTGCAGGACTGCTCGCTTAAAGCTTCTCAAGACCGCTTCAAAGCCAAAGCTTGCGAAAGCGCTTTCTCCTCGCAATACGCTAGCCCGAAACACATTGGAGAGAACACATAAACCAATCACACCACTGTACAGAACGTACCATAGACCCCTATACAGGCCCCAATAAAACCCTGAAAGACTCGAATAAGACCCTTAAAGACCCTGGTAAGACACTTGAACAAAGATCTTGGAGCTAAGGATAAATACAACACCTTTTTACATCTAAGTTAGACAGACAGACAGGCAGACAGCCAGACATATTAATATGTACATATATATATATGCATATAAATATATATATATATATGCATACTATGTGTGTATACATACATACATACATACATACATACATACATACATACATACATACACACATACACACATACATACATACATACATGCATGCATGCATGCATGCATCCATACGTACATAAATGCATGCATATACATATACATACACATGTACATGTACATA